GTCTTCTTCCTCTTCTCCTGCCTTCAACTCTCCCTAGCATTATCGGCTTATCCAGCAAGGCTTGCCTTCTCTTGATGTGCCCAAACTACAAAGTACCATAGGAATTAATACCATGTCTTAAAAACTTGACACAAGAGGCAGCCAAAGACAGAAATTGGTTGCTGGAATGCTTCCCTGTATACTTAACACAGAAAAGACCTAGTGATAGATGAGAAGTTGCTTGCAGTTCTCCAGAACTGACATACTTAATTTATTCAGATTTATTCATACTTATTTGCAATTCAGCATTTGTGATTGCAGGTTGGTTGGCTGGTTGAACATGCTCCACAGGTACATATCAGTCTGTCTAGTGAAATTTGGCAAAGCACTATGAACATTTCTGAGAGGTGGGCAGTCCTCAAGGCTGATGGTGACCTGTGGGTAATTTCCTGGTTGCAGACCTGTTATATTTCCTGTAATACCATTCATTCTGCTAGTAAACTTGAATTTAGCACGAGTACTGTATTAAATGAACAGATCGGTGATACTTTTTTTTTTAAATGAGGCACTCTATCACAAGAGCTGTATTTTTTCAAAGTGTAATTAAAAGCAAAAGCCCTGCAACAAATGGAGGTGATGGGTAACAAAATGGCAGACAGAAGGAGGGAAGTGGTGATTTCTATGCACAGCAGGCACACTGAAGCCAGAAGAGGTGCAAGCAGGGAGGAGAAATGGAGGAGGACAGTGGTAGGCAACCACCGTGGAGCAACTGAGACTGCATCACGGAGACATGGCTCCGTCCCCTTCTGGGAGTGGACTCTGAGTGTCCAGCAGTTTTTCCCACTGCAAGCAAATGAAAGCAAGAGGCTGAGACTGCCTGCTGGCCCTTGGACCAGAGCATCCCGGGTGGCACTGGAGCAGGAATCCACTGGAGGGGTCTTGTTGTGGATTCTCACGCTCAGTCTGTATAAATGGGTAAGCAAACCATATATCACAGAAATGCTGCAATTTTCCAGTGACTGCCTTCTAACACAACTGGATCCAAGATAAGCATTGGAGCACTTAAAACGTCTCACTGCTCAGAAGTGGGGTGAACATGTAACGTTAAGAAAATCGTTTTTATCTAAAGCAATAGCAATTGATATTGGAGACTATTTTTTAACCTGGGATAACTGAGGTCAAAATCAAAGTCAACCTTCTCATTCTCAGGAGAGCATACAAGAATAGCATGCAAGTTACAAGCAATACACCCCAGGGCCACTGAGCAGAAACAGGGACTCTCAAAGGACACCTTATCCTGCTTACTGCTTCTTCTTCAGGCTCTGTGCTGTTTTCCTCCTTATCTAACTTCTCCAGCACAGCTCACATATGGGATGGGGGCGTGTAGCACACGGATGAGGGAAATATGTACCCAGTCTGTACACACTGTCCTAGTTTGTCTTCAGCGTCTGGTGGGGAAGGGGAAGAAAGGAGAAGCTGAGGACAGGGATTATCGAGTTGGGACTGGAAATTCATTCGTTCATTGTCATGGGGCCAGACTAGATACAACAGTGAGAGACTCGTACTTTGAACGTGTGTCTACTTTGTGCATAGATAAAGAGGGGGTGGAAAAGGAGCACAAGAGACATGGATGCTGAGCCCTCTCTCCCCCTTCACCTGGCACCACTCCTGGTGTGTGCTGCACGTCCTTTCCTCCTCTCCAGGCTTCAGTACCAGACATTAGCCATCAGGAAGGGAGGAAAGCAAATACCTCGGGCAAAGGACTGAAGGCAGGCACCCCTCTCCTATAAGAATCCTAACACTTTATATGGGATCAAGGTGGACACAAGACTGATATTGCTGTCATGTTTAGTTTGGCTCTAGAGAAGGTTGGGGTTGGAGAGCAGCATCAAGAGCCTCTGCTTTAAACTCTTAGTTGTACAATCTGTGCCATTCTTGCGGCAAGCCCCAACTCAACATAAGATCTCTCTCACGCACGCATTCTGATTTGGTCCAACCTCGTGAGGACTTTGTCTCTTACCTGGATGTTTAGATCAGCTCCCGATGCTGCTTCCAAGAAATCTGCATGCATTATGCCTTCTGTGTACAACCAGGTTTCTTACCATCAAAGGCCGGTCTATGCATACAGCAGAATAAGATGGGAGTGAAGTGGAAGCATCTGGAAGGGATAGAATAAACCGTAGCACTTCCATTGTGGATGACTATTTGGAATGCTCTTCTTCTGTGTAAAAAATATTTTTTTAAAAATCCTTCAAATGGAAAACTAGCAGCACATGAGAAGAAATGACCCAGGCATAAGTACAGAAGAGGAGCTGTGCTGGATCAGATCCAGGGTCCCTCCAGTCCAGCATTCTGTTCACACTGTGGACAACCACCTGCCCACAGGAACTCACAAGCAGGGTGTGAGCACAACAGCCCTCTCCCAACCAAGTACGTTGGCGACTGGTGTGTGTGGGCACAGCTGCCCCTGCCCCCAGAGGCACCACATATCCATCATGTGTGGTAGCCATGGATAACATCCTCCATGAATTTGTCCAGCCCTCTTTTGAAGCCATCCAACTTGGTAGCTGTCACTCCATCTTGTGGAAGTGAATTCTATAGTTTAACTATGCACTTTGTGAAGAAGTACTTTCTTTTATCCATCCTCCTGGATCTCCCACCAATCAGCTTCATGGGAAGAGCTTGAGCAATATCTGTCTTCCAGGGTATCTTTGATTTACCTGTGAGGCCAAAACCATCTGTTTTTTATATTGGCTTCCTTACTGTGCCAAATTTCATTGACCCATCCCAAACAACAAAAGGGGTAATCCTTTGGTAATGGCAAAAGTCAAACTCTCAGATTAAACATCTTTCTCAAATCCAAGTATTATTCCATACTTTGGAAGGCAGAAAATGTCAGACAACCCCCCCTCCTCTCAACCCATTCTTCCTTTAAACCCTTTAATAATATCTGACTGACGTGATGTTTCTTCTCAAGAGTTTATGTGTAGGAGTAGGTTTGGCTGCAGCATTTTGGCTGCTGAATAATAAATTCTTGACTCTGGTTATAACAATTCACAGATGGTTTTCTCACTTTTTTAGCTAGAATAGTGAGGACCAGGAAAGGTTTTTGCTTCTTTAAATGTTGTGCAAAGGAAGAAATTCACTAGTTGTGGCTTCTCTTAACATGAGAACCTTGAAACGGGAAAAGACACATTTGGGTTGCTTCACCAGTACTTCAGCCCAATATCTATTACTGTATTAGAATTAAAAGAGTTGTTCCACATGGCAATAAATGTAGCACAGCCTTATCCAGCCATGCCCCTCATGGTCAAGATCTCTCTCTAATGTCTACTCAGGAATCAAACTCATTAAGCAAAAAATCCCCTGCAACATGTATTAGAAGCTTCTGCCTTTGTGTTTTTCAGCCTGAACTTGGAACTTCTGCATTTTTTTTCTTTAGGTGCTGGCTGGGAGGTTTATATTATTATGCAAGATTTCCTGTGTTTCGATTTTATTTAGCCAATCCTGAAACAAATCCTGGTCCATTTCTGGACACAATTAAAAGAGTTGGTGATGACCTTTAAAACCCTTCATTGCTTTGGGACCAGGATTGCCTGCATCACCATCAGTGCTCTGAAGTCATCAGCAGAGACCTTTTTTGGATACCCTCACTGACTGAGGTATGAGACTAGGGGAAGGGCCTTCTTAGTGACGGCTCCCTATGTGGGGAATGCTCTCCCCAGCAGTACTAGCCTCCTACCCACATTGTTGCCCTTTTAGCACCAAAGTTCTTTTTATTTTCTAACCTTTTGTAAATAATGTTTAACCCAGCATTGACTGGCTTTCTGCTGCTTCCATTTGTGCTATGTTTATTCCTGTTTATATTTGCATAGCATTGCATTTTAGAACACCAGTTTGTTTGCTTGTGTTAAGCGATTCTTGTGTAAACCTCCGCAAATTGAAAAAAGGGCTTACTAAATTAGTTTACTAAATAAGTTGATAAATGGCTCTATTTGTATTGTAATCCAAGTACAGCTTTTCCCATCAGTAATTTGAAATGACAGGAGAAGCAGTACCCAGTCACATTTTCAAAAATATTTATTATCATTAATAAAATCAATACTAATAATTGATGATAAGTAATAACATCAATGAATTCATTATTATTATTCCACACAATATTTATAATGAGAAAATGGCATAGTTTTTTTTTAATCTACCAAACTTGTTTTACTAATTCTTTCTGTGGAATGGGGGGGGGGGGGAGTGTGTGACTGTGACCACAAGCGGAAAGAACTTCTATTCATACCCCTTGGAATGGCATAGAAGGACCCATCTATATTAAGGATGTAGATCTGGTACAGGACAAAAGGCTCCAGAGAGTAGTCATATGAAAATTTAGTCAGGAAAGAAGTCCTAAACTCCCAGATTGCCCCAGCCAGGACTATTTTTCCGTCGAAACATGCATAGGATCACACCCTGGGAAACAACTACTGGGCTTAGAAATAAATCCCACTTAGTTCAGTGGAGTAAATGTGCTTAGAAATGTAGCATTAACGTATAAAAAAGTACAGGTCAACGAATTGTTTCCCCGTGGTTTGCCGTGCCAATGACTAACCAATATTACTATTTTTTATGTGTAGGGTATCGATAACTGATCGGGTCATTTATTTTTCCCTTAATTAAGCCCTATGGAACAACCCAACCAGAGCCCTCCTGGCTTCTAAAAGCTATCTCGCTTCCCATTGCTTTTGGCAGGGCTGCCAGGCCTTTAAAACTTGTTAAACGGGCAGCAATTCAACGGATTAAGCAGCCCTGTTGCTGAAAGTCCATGTGCCCCGGTGGGGGGAGATTCTGGGCACGAAATCGCCGCCTGCTGTGCAGCGGAGGAAGGGCCGAGGGCGCGACCGCGCGGGGCGGACGAGGAGTCGCCCCTTCCCTGTTCTGCCCGGCGGCTCTGGAGCCGTGAGTTAATACGAAATACTCTTGCCCAACCACATGATCCTGCGAAGGAAAACTACGGATGTCACGAGCTCTTGCCGAGCAACTCTTTCGGCTGTCAAAAGGAGCCGCGATGAAAGTTCAGTTCAGAAATAGAACGAGGCCAACTGACTCCACGACGGGCGGGTGGGCAGCCGAGATTTCCAAGGAGGAGGAAAGATGGCTCACGCGATTATAGAAAGGTATTCCGAGACACATTTCCTGCAAGGAGGAGACTTCCTTTTCCTGCCTGCATGGCAGCAGATCTGCAGTTATCAGATCAAAACTGTTTATTTCCAATTCGAGGGATGCAGGCTCCACAAAGTTCTTTTCTTTCCTATCCAAGAGTCTGAAATCGCTTAATGGGCTAAGATAACGAACAGCCCTGAAAGCTCAGCAGCTCTCTGATAAACTCAGATGATCTGTAATGACCCACGCATTTGGGAAGGGAAAATGGTTTGACAGCATTAATTCTGAGAAGAGCTTGATACCAGGTCTTTCACAGCCAGACATTTCAGAGAAGAAATTGCACTTCACTATTTCTTGCTTCATTCCTATAATGTCATAAAGTGTCCTTACACTGAATCAAAACTTGAAATGACATTTAGAATTTTTAAAACAGTGAACTTCAATTTTAAAGCATTTCCCTACTTCTTCTTCTTCTTCTTCTTCTTATTATTATTATTATTATTATTATAACATTTCTATGCCGCCCCTTGCCGAAACCTCGGGGCGGCTTACAACACAATAAAATACATTGAAATACAATAGAACATACTAAATTACCATTAAATACAAAAATACAAAAAAATACAAATGCACACATTCTCATATCATCCATTCCAGAAAATATATATTTTATTTAGTCTCGCTGATTCAGTGCAAGTGACACTCATAAGACACTTCAATCACTATACTGATAGAAGAGTTAATCCTAATCGCAGCCTAGCAGAGTGATGGAAGTACAAAACTCTTGTAAGCTATGTTTGTTGAGTGGTTCCAAGCTTTCTCCTTTAGCTGTAATGATTTAACAGTAGCTCTACCCATATTTAGTCACACCCCTTGTATAAAGAAAAAAGAGAGTGTATTTGAATGATATTATTGTATTATAGTGTTAGCAAACCCTTTTTTTCTGATGGGGACTGCCTCCCTTTGTTCTATTAAGAGCAGTGTGTTAGTGGTGAGAGCTGATGAAGCTAGCCTGGGTATTTATGCTGCCTTAAGCTGTTTGGAGGAAAGATGGCATCAGGATGTGTTTATTTTTTATGTCTGGCCAGACCACTTCAGCTGTTCACAATGTGGCAGATAAATTAAGGGGAACAGCTGGAGTGGCTGCCCATAACCCTCCAAACTCAGAGGATTCTGGGTATCCAGTGGAGGGTGGGAAGGGTACAGAGACCAGGGTTGCCTTCACTAGGCACTGTCCTGATGTCACAGGATAGGCTGGAGGCCCATCCAGTAAGTACATTCCGCCCTTGCAACTGACTAGCACTTGGGATGCGGGGAGGCATTCCAAGAGTAGCTGGGGGAGAATGAGGCCAGGATACCAAGAATCCTGGCAGTGCATCAGTCCCCCCTCTTTGCAAACAGGGCAAAAGACAGAGAGAGCTAAAATCAGCCACCTATGTCTTTTGCAGGGTGGCAGAAGCTTTCGATTAGATGCCCATAATCCTTCAAGTTTGGATGGTTATGAGCAGCCACCCTGGACGGTGCTGTAAGTGTTTTCTCTCTGAGCATGAGCAAGAGGGGCTGAGGCACCATGAGGATGCTTCATATCCCTGTGCGGCCTCACCCCTGCCCCCCCCCGTCCCCTTTCCCAACACCAGCTGGGAAGACAGAGAGAGGGTCCTCCAAAGCCAGAGCCTTAGCTCTCACCAGAGGTTGGAGCTGGGGCTCTGAATTTCTGTGTGGCCATCTAGACAGTGATTGTGCCCTCAATCAATAAATGTATGGCAGTTATTGGGAAGCGTACAGCCCCGTGTTGGAACCATCCCAACCTGGCAGTGCCCATTTGTTCTCATCACTGGTGTAGCAGCATCAGAGAAGCTAGTGCAATGGAGAATTGCAACTGTAGAATTGCCTCCACCTGCTATGTATTAGTTAACACCAGTTTCTTATATCTGTACACAGAGAAAGAGCAGGAGGGAGATGCACACGCTTCTGGTCTCATCCCAAAGCACTAAATAATTCATGAGGGAAAGCTGCCGTTTCAATGGAATTTTATAGAGAGTATCTGGAACAGATGGAGGCAGAAAACTACATATAAAAATAAACCAAAAAAGACAGCCAGAAGATGCTGCGTATAGAAACTGTAATAAGTGATGTTTGAGATGAAGCGTTCTAATATTTTCAAATGTCTTTCTACCGAACACAGGTCTGTTTATTGTTGTAAAGGGAGGAGACTCTCACCTGACTGAGAATGGAAAGTGAGGCTGTGTTGAGCTGAGCATGAAAGCTGCCATGGACAGAACCTGGACAAAGCCAGGTAAAGATAACTGTGCAATAATTTCTAGAAGGACAGCCATGTTTATCTGGTGCAGTAAAACCAGCAAGGATTCCTGTTGTAGCTTAAAGATGAACAAATTCATCATTTTTGTAGACTAGATACATCTAATGAGGTGGCATATGCCTTAATTTTTTAGCCTCTCAGGTGCAACAAGAATCTTTGCTGTTATACCCTTCAGATCATACCTTGGTTGCAGAAACAAGCCTTTGGGTACCAAGGCTAAATGACCTGTACAGTTGTGTTTGCACTGGATGTGCAGAAAAGGACTTGAGGAAGTGTCATGCCTTGAGGCACTGGAGGTGAGTAGAGATGTGATGCTTGAGACAGAATTTTTGGCTGTGCTTCAATATAAGAGGAAAAGCCCATTTGCTGAATTCAGATTAAGCTTTGCTAGCACTGAGAGAGATGTGGCACATTTAATATTTCTGCAATGCATCCGCGTGCAGAGGTGTTACTAGAGGAGATGAAGACCTCCACCTGGAGATTGGGAGCATTCTCACTGTACTAAGGCCTTTATGGACACGTTCACACATCATTTTAACCCACCCTAGCAATAAACCACAGTGGGTTATTAGTTGATCAGGCTTACTGTGAGTTATTTGTCCCATCCTCTTTCCCATGGATAGCCCAAGGATCCCCATAGGAGGACTGACTTGTCTCCACCTCCTCGCCACAATCACTAGCTGTTTTTGGTTTGTTGCAGCTCTGAGTTTATTTATTTATTTATTGAGATTGACAGCCACTGGCAAATGCTTTAAAGTGCCAGAGAAGCCCCTGGGAGGAGCTATCAGTGGTTGGTAAAGTTTCAAAACAAATTGTATAAGCAATGTGTGCTATTTTTTAAGTTTTAGCCACCCTTGTGTCACTATGTAGGAGCATAGCTGCATGAATGCACAAATTAGGATCCTCAGTGTGGAAATATTGGGGGGTGTCGTACCTGCTATCAGAAGGCAGCAGCAGGACATTGACCCCAACAGAGTCCAAATCAACTTGTCCACCCTTTGCTTTCTCTTGACAGCTATCAAAAGGCAAGCTGTAAAGAGAGACAGTGTGGTGTAGTGGTTAAGAGCATGGGACTGGGACTCAGATGATCTGGGTTCTAGTCCCTGCTCAGCCATGGAGCCAACTGGGTGACCTTGGGCCAGTCACAGACTCTCAGCCCAACCTACCTCACAGGGTTGTTGTTGTGGGGATAAGATGGAGAAGGAGAATGATGTAAGCTGCCTTGAGCCCTTTGTAGGAAAAAGGCAGGATATAAATCGAATAAATAAATAAATAAATAAATAAAAGCAAAGGTGCAAGCAATCTTTGCTTAAGAAGGAGGTGAGATTATATCCTCTTTGTTGTGAAATCCTCATCTCCCCCTCCCCATCCCAAACAGTCCTCAGGATGATACATACTTGTCCCCATGACTCTAGCTGCTCAGAAAAATGCAGAAGTATATTCCACCCTATTTTCTAAGGGAAAGTTGCTTTGACATCAGGCTAGCTAATGGATGTTTTTTGACAGGGCAATGCGTAATTTGTAACTGGGACTTATGACTGTTCAAAAAAAAAAAATCCATACAAGTGGGTGAGGAATGTATCTCTATAGAATTGTACTTCTAAACTTTCCTTCTAAAGTTTGCCTTATCTGCCTTTCAGATGATTAAGCTGTAGAGAAAAAATTCTTAACCATATACTAGAGCTTATATACACAAACCATCACAAAGGAAAGGACACAAAACTTCCAGCTGCATATAATAAACAGAAAAAGACTTGCCATTACAAATTTCAGTGATATCATGACAGAAATAATTAAATCTTAATAATTCATTACATTTCTAATTTCAGTAATATAATCCTAGGCATGTTTCCTTAGATCTGCCTCAATGAGATAAATGGAATTAACACTCTACGGATGATACTTTAGGATCGTGGCCAATGATAAACTATAAGGCCTGATTCAGACATAACGACTGTGCTTCCAGAAACCACATAGAATGAGCTTATTTCCTCCTTGACCTTTAGGGTAGCAACATAAATAATACAGATTCAGTTTGAACAAGAAAACATTCAGGGAAGACCAGTGAACATTATCCCATTGCATTGGATGAAGGAACTGAACACGAATTTGCCCTATACTGAGCACAAATAAGGGCCAGCCCACAGAAGAAAGCATGAGTTTAGAATTTCTCCATCTTTTTAACATTCCCAAGTAAGAACTCCTGTAGTATCAGCATCAACCCTCTGGTGAAGGGCATCTGCCAGCATTGAAAATGATTGAGGCTAGCCTCCAAGAGTAGAGCACACTGAATATGGTTGTTTGGCCTCTGCAGGGATTTTAATGAAGAAAGGCAGCAGGACAGGGATCTTGATAATCCAATGCACAATTTAGGGGGGAAATCAATCGCATGTGATTTAAACATTCAAAAATAGAAGTAGGACTGCAGGACTGCAGCAGAATGTTGCAGCATATCCTCACCTCTGAATGTTGCAATGTATCTCAACCTGCTATTCAGGGGGCTTTCCAGCCAGTCATGGCCTTCCCCAGAGTGCTCCATTTCGTCTTCCCCCTCCCCTGGTTTTCTGGTTTTCTTTCACAATTAACACTCACATTCCATTACTCTTTTCTCAAGGGGCTGAGTTGTTTACTTCATTAGGAATTTTTAAATGACCTTTTGTACTTCGGCAAACCCCAAGCATGATATCTTCCTCTTATCCCATTTTAAGCTCCAATTCTCTTGGCACTCTCACTACCAGAGTTTGCTATGAGAGGGAGTAATGACAATATACTAAGAGTCTAGAATAAAGTGAACAGCAATTTCCATTCTTCCCTTTGTGCTCAGGTCTTCCCCATAGTGTCCCCCTTAGCATTACAAATATAACAGCCCAAACCTGCAATCCTGTGCAGGTTTACTGAGAGGAATGTTCCAGTATGTTTAATAGTGCTTCTTCCAGGTATGTGTACATAGGATTGCAGCCGAAATGTCCCATGAGTTCTGCTCTCCAGTCTTCCTCCAAAGTCCTGTTCCAGTCAGGTCCACTCAAGGTAGAGTAGTAAAAACACACATTCCTGCTGCTTCTCAGTGTTAAACCACAGGCTCTGGTTTGCGTTTAAAGGCTGCTGTAGCTGACAATAAATCAACAATACAAGACTTGTTGCTACCTTCTGATTTCAAAAGTTCCAGCCCCCCGAACAGGGCCAAGGCCTGAGGCCAGCCAAAATCTGAAAACTATAGGAGCTGATGGGTAACTGGTGAAATCTAACACAGGTGTTGATCCTAACCTGGCTTTTCTCACCTAAATCAAGCTGCTGAAATGAATAAAGCATGTCATAATTTTTGAAAGGAAGGGCTGCAGGCTCGCCTCTTTTCTGCCCTTGAGAATGCATCCAGAGCCCCTCTGCCCTTTTCTTGCAAGCAGTTCCAGTGGGCAGATTGTGGGATTCTAGTGAATAGGTCTTAGCAGCCTGATGTCTGCCCTTCCCTGCCCTGGACAGGTCCCATTCCATGAAGAAGTCAAGGGCTGACATTTTGCAGGGGCCCAACCATGCATTAGTCCCCACTTAGCAAGGAGGACCTAAGAAGGCCAGAGCAGGCAACCTGAGAGGATTGCCAGTTTGCAGACACCCCACCCCCCCACCAACAGACAATAAGCCACCAACCTGAGAGGATTGCCAGTTTGCAGACACCCCCCCACCAGTTTGCAGACACCCCCCCACCCCACCGCTCCCCCAGTTAAGGAGCTTCTGGCTAATTGGCTGTTTGTCAGGGTAATGTAACAGGATATAATTTCACAGAGGCATCAATGGCAGCTCCCAAACTGGTCAATTTAAATTCATTAAATGAAGGCAGCAATAGGGAGGGGTGGGAGGAAGGGAATCGAGAGAGGTAAGACAACTGGGATTGTTTAGCTGTTTCTGCTACAGAAAGGACAGGAGATCATAGAGAACAATTGTGCAGGGCCCTGCTATGTTTTGAAGGAAGAGAGTGTGTGGCGGGGTGTAGATCGGTGCTCCGCAATAGGAAATGCTTTATTAGCTGGGAGTGGTGGAGAAAAGCCAGGCAGGAAGAGGCAGTAATAAGAAACATTTTTAACTTCTCCCACATCCAGAGCTTGCCAAACCACTGCTTTCAAGCGAGAGGGAAAGAGCAGAGGGGTCTGGAAAGAGGATCCAGTCTCCCACACGCCCTTGCTGCCTTCGACTCACCGACCTCTCTGAAACAGACTTTGCCAAAGCTGAGCTTCAGACTAAAGCTATGGACGCTGTTCCTTCTAAGTTCGAAAATCCTATAAGAGTTGTACTATCGGCAGGAAAGTGACCTGGGAATCCATCACAGGCGAGGCAACTGGGTCCCGTGAGGAGGTGGTCTAAATTATCATACCTTTCTGGGGAAAAAAACACTTCAGATTTTGGTCCCAAAGAAAAACCTCACTTCTAAGGAAGCATTAGCCAAGGCCAGCTGGAAGCAGGAAAACAGCAGGATACGGGACGGGGCCAGGCTGTGATCCATTCACCTACAAAGGATCCTGGGTAAGTTGGAATCAGTTACTTTCCTCTGTCCTTTCCATTTTTACTTGGGGAAATTCAAACAAGCAAACACACACATGTTCCTTAGCAAAAGACAAACTGAAATCCCTAAAATCATTTTTAGGCCTTTCATAGCACAGAGAAAATATTTGATTGCTTGGATCAAATTCCTAGCAGCAGGCTCTTGAGTAACTTGTCATAGGCTCCGTAGCATCTCTTTTGGTCACCTGCTGAGCCAGGTGGCCACTGCAGTTGACTCTTGTTGAGTTCAGCTCACCTAGACATTTCCCTAAAACAGCGGTCTCAAATTCAACTTACCTGGGGGCCACTGGAAGTAGAGTCTGGGTGAGGCTGGGCTGCATCAAGTATTCCACCACCGTGGTGGTGGTGGGCCGCTCATCCCGCGGCCGGCCCGGGTGCCGCCGGCGCTTTGAAGGCTGCAGGGCCCCTCTCCCGTGCCCTGCCCGGCAATCGGCCTGCGGGCCACGAGTTTGAGACCCCTGCCCTAAAATATTTGGGCAATCCTTGCAAGGATGATGACTGGCACCTGTGCCAACTCTATGAGAAAACTATGGATCTTCTTTCTGCCAAGTCCAACTTCCACCAACCATGGAAGTTGAATGCAGTACATCTCAAGGAAGCTTCATGGAATTTATGTTCTTGTCTGTGGTTGGAACTGATAAGCATTCCCATTGACTGACTGACTTTACACTCCCGTTGAGTGTAAACATTAGTGGGAGACCATTCTTAGGCTGGAACATGCACCAAAAGGGCAGCACCATCAAGCGAAAACCTGCAGAAAAACCTAGCAGGCGTAGGATGCACAAGTCTCTTAGTTCAAGAAATGGCAGTTCTTTACATGACTAGCTCCATACCTGGAAAGCAGACTGTGCAGACTAAGCAGGCAGGTGAGCAGATTACCTGGTCACAGTCTTCCCTGCTGCAGTATGATGTATTTCTATTAACATTATCCTAATTGTATCTAAATGTGCATCTGTAAATATAATATGCCTCTTCTATGCAAATCTGCATCCTCTGCCCTCTTCTTTTGGTGGTGCATTTCCATCTACCAAGCAGCCTAACTGGTACTAGCAGCAGGCTGCAACTCTTCCAACACCCTTTCAACTACCCACCATGCCATAATGTGGTGTCAGCCCAGGATTTTGTAGGGAGGGCAGAATTGTGGTTTCCTATGTGCTTGTTACTACTGATTGGTAAACGCAAGTCAAGGAGCAAACAGGAGGTCCCAAGCCAAGCTCGGAGAGCCATTCTGGGAGACTGGGCCTGACCGTACCACGTGCTGCTTCACGTTGTGGTTCTGAAGTGGGTGTAGGCCAGCAGTTCATGCTCAGAACATGGTTGATTTCTGATTTGTCCAGAGTATATTGGTTATTAGGCAGAAGAGACATGCCGTGAACAAGAAAAAAACTTTTTTAACTCCAGGACTACAAGATCTGCACATATATGCAGATGTATTCACCTATATCTATATGTCTTCATGCAACACGTGGGCAGAATGCATGTGGAACCCACTCTGTGAATTGTTGATTCTGATTGTTGAATCAGCCACAATGGCAGCAGAAAGCCTGGCAGTTTGCTGCTGGAATGGGGTGGTGCAGAGGAGGCAAGACAATAGGAAAATGTTACTGGAAAACAGGGCATGTGGGGGATATGTGCCATGTTTTGAAATAAAATGGACTCTTTCTTTTGCCATTGCAGCTCTACTGCCAAAACTAGTGGCATTGTGGCAGCAGCAGTTCCAGGGAAGGGTGTAACCCCTGAGGGATTTGTGTGGGGGGACAAAATCAGCCATAGATGTTTCCCATCCCAGTCTACAATTAAGCCTCTTTTTTCTTCACTGAGCTCTATGGAGTTCCACATTTGGAGAAAATGCCCATTCCCACTCTCTGATCATGTGACCCTTTTTTGCTTCTCATTGGTGCCACTATTTTTTTACAGTTTTATGAGTAGAGTGTCTCAGGTTTCTGTTCCACAAACCATGTTGTTCAACATTTTTATAAATGGCATGAACATTTATAGAGAATATGCTCATCAAGTCTGTGGATGATACCAGCCTGGAAGTGGTAGCTAATAGCTTAGAACAGGGAAAAGCAAATGTGTCCCCAAGACACCTTTCTTGGTGTCCATCAAGAAGCACTACCTCTTCCCAACTTTTCTTTTAAAAGTATTTTAATGTTTTCTTACTGGCACCTGAGTTTGCTTCAAGCTGAAGTGGGAGCATCCAGTTGCTGCCCTGTTAATTTTCTGTGAATTCCTCTGGGCAGGTTGTCACACCTACCTATGGCAGCCATTTTATTCTGGTGCCCAGAAGAATCTATCAGACTTCCAAATCTGTCTCCTCCTGCCTCAGAAGACACAAACAAGATTCAAAATGACAGCATGTTCAAAAATAACAAAATTAATTTCAGTAGGATAAATTTACGGTTCTGCACTTAGATAGGAAAAAATCATGGGTGAGTAGACCACAGTAGAACGGAGTGCTACCATTATGTCTTCTTAGCTGGGCAGCACAGTTTAATGAGGATATCATCCAAAAGAGATCAATTAAAATGGAGAGAGAGGAGCCTGTTAGGAAAGACTGAAGGAGTTGGATGTATTTACCCTACAGAAGAGATGATTAAGAAATCATATGATAGCAACCTTCAAATATGTGAAGGGCTGTCACACAGACGGTCCAGCAAATCATCATCATTTAATTGTTAATATTATTTATTGATTTTACATCTTTGGCCAGGACATCTCCAATTATATTGTTTTTATATTGTTGTTATTTATTGTTGTGAACCACCCCGAGGCGTCAGCGAATGGGGCGGCATAGAAGCTTCCTAAATAAATAATCTCTGTTGCTCCACAGGGTAGGACTAGGACCAATGGATTCAATGTGCAAGAAAGGGAATTTCAACAAAAAATTAGAAAGCAATTTCTGACATTGTAAGCTGTTCCACACTGAAACAGATTGTCTTGGAAGGTGGTGGAGTCTTCTTTATTTGGGGTTTTCAATCATCCTATCAGGGATAATGTAGCAGCAGATTGCCCACATCGACAGAGGGGTTGGACTAGCGGACATCTGAGGTCTCTTCCAGCTCTACAATTTTACTGTGCCAACTCTGAGTAACTCCTTATAACAGCATGGTCACACTTCACTTTTCATTCAAAAGTGTTGACTTCTGGAAGTACCAAAGCTGTTCTCCTTAGCTCACCTTCTCTTCACATATGTGAAGTTGCCTAATACAGTCAGACCATTGGTCCAACTTTTTCCAGAGATATTTGGCAAGAGATATTTCCTAGCCCTGCCCTTATACCTGATATCCTTTAACAAGGGAAGCTGCAAAAGGAATGTGCACTCTTGTACATGCAAAGCCTTGTGATTTTCAAGCGTATGCAAGTTGGCCCTGGCAGGCCAGGGAAGGAAATAATTGTAATGATAATAACAACACTAGTGAACAAAGAAAAAAACCCTAGAGCTTATGATTTCAGAGACGTGAGAACTTTGTCATGGTGTGAACAAGTTGGCACATAAATGACACATATGGCATTTTTTATGCAAGGAGACGCCATGCCCGTCATTTGGGCCAGCTTGATTATTAGGCTGATACGGAAAGATGGATAGTAGGACTCAGCAGAAAGCAGCCCTCTTTTGTAAATTTTTAAGCGTTTTGTGGGAAGTAGTGCTGGATGTGGTGAATTGTGCAGAAGTTTCCTCCGCTCTCTGTATTGAATCATTTCACCGTTTTCCCAAAGGGGGGTTTCAATGGCTGTGCATGCAGGGTGATGGTGCTTTTTTTAAATTTTCCAACCAGGGTACTGACATGCCTATTAAGTGCTGATCAGCTTTTCTTTTGCATAACTGAATTCTGTGCCCAGGCTGATTGCTATCTGTGAGTAAGACAAAAAATTGATTTAGAGATGCCAGTCTCATAATTAGTTCTGCCTTTGTTGCAACTAATCGTGAAGGACCATATTATTTCCTTCTCACTGTGGCCTGAAGCTCAGCTGAACAGCACATGTTTTCTCTACAAGTCAGTGAGATTAGGATTATATATACTTTGGACAAAATATATATACCACGTTCCAGTTCTTAAAGGACCCTATAGTTGCTCACAATTGTTAACAAGAAAATGTTAAGCTTTAAAAATGACCCAATTCATGCATTAGTTACATTAAGACCAGGCAACTATAATGCACTTCACACAGCCTTGGGAGGTGGCTCAGACACTTCAAGTGATGCAAAATTCTGCCATCCCAAGGCTGGTAGAGGCTGGGAGGATGGCACATGGGATGCCCACTTTGTACCTCTGATTGCTGCTGCATCCCTGGGCCCAGTTCAAAGTACTGGCAATACATCAGGTACTTTAAAGCCCCATACAGTTTGGGGTCAGGTTATCCGAAGGGCTGTCTTCACCATGAACTTGCCCATACAGTCAAATCAGTGTCAGGTGCCTGCCAGTAAAATCAATCAAATTGGTGGGCACAAGGCTTTTTCAGTTGTGGCCCTCTGGTTAATTTGCTCCCAGCTGATTCACAGATGGCTTCTCTACATGTGTTTAAAATGCACTTCAAACCACACCCACTCAAGATGGTTTTCCCAGAAGGGTGACAATGGGTTTGACATGGTTGATTTCTTAAGAAAAATGCAGTATGTTGACCAGTTAGAATCGCTGGCTATATTTTTAAGCTGCTGTTTTGTCCATGTTTCTAAATTGTTTGGTCCTTTTTTAATGTGCTAATTTGCAAGAAGAATATCTCTCTGATC